AGTCGCCGTTTTTGATGATCTTGGTCTGTCGAATAGATCGATAGCTGATAAGATTAATCGATGTGATTCATGTGTCCGCAAGTTAATCAAAAAGAGAAATCCAACTGGAACATATAATAGACGTAGCGGATCAGACCGACCGCCAAAAACTAGCGACAGGGAAGATAGAAACTTGGTTCATCAATGTAAAAAAGATCGATTCGCAACAGCAGAAGATATTTCCAAAGCGACTAGTTTGGCGTTTCTTCAAGAAGAGTCAGAAACAGGTTTAAATCAAAAGCCATTCTTTCCAAACATAAAAAAAGAAACCTTTCGTATCTGAAAAAAAAAATCGACGGGTACGATTGGCTTGGTACAAAGCTCATTTACACTGGACTAAATCTGATTGGTAAGATGTTATATGGAGTGACGAGATCCCCTTTACTCTTAGATATGAAAGATGAATACCTGTTTGGTGTAAGCCCGGTGAAACGAATACTCCAGTGACTACCAAGAGCATTGGTAAACACGATAAAAAAAAATATAAACGTTTGGGGTGCATTCTCAGTGGCAGGAATTGGTAATTTGTACAAAATCAAAGGAATCATTACCAACATCAAGAGCACAACATTCAACAAATTTTATTACTCACTTGTTTTGGTAAAAATACAAAATTCGACTTTCTATGGGTGCGTCTTTTTTTTTTTCTTATTTTTTTTTTTCTTGCCTCGTAATGTAAGTAAAATAACGTCACGGGGAATATGCTTCAATATATTCGCAAATGAAGAAAACCTTGAAACGATTGAGAAAAGTTTCATATGGTTTGATATTATCCTGTTATTACAGTATTTTTTCCAGATACAGAAGCTAATTCTAGACAAAATACTAGTCGACTATAGTACTAGTCACCATTACCTCAATCAGTCAGTAAGTATCAAACGTGATACATGATTCAGCGAATCAATACATGACTGAGTAGGCTGAAGATTATTGTGGTTTCTTTATACGAAAAATTGGTTGCCGAGGAGAGATTCATACCTTTCGCAGGGGTCTTTGTTTGCTTTGGTTTGGTTTGTTTTACGGCATATAAATCTCGTTGAGAAGATTTTTATTGCTGGTAATATTTTTTCTTCAAAAATTCATTGTTGGCATCTATTGCTGGTATTAAAATCTATTTTTACACTTTCATAGTGTTTTGACCTCAGATTGTAGGTCAACTATTTGTCTATAGCTAGGATCCTAACAGGTGATACCACCCCGGGTCAGCGCGGACCGGAGAACACCAGCAATAAGAGGTGATTGTACGCTCCTCAAAACCTCCTAATAAAAGTTCTTGCTTTTAGATGCAGTTTATCGTCTTACCCAGGACGTGGATATAGTTTATCGTCTTACCCAGGGCGTGGGTGTAGTTTATAGTCTTACCAAGGGCGTGGACGTAGTTTATCGTCTTACCCATGACGTGGACGTAGTTTATCGTCTCACTCAGGACCTGGAAGCAGTTTATCGTCTTACACAGGACGTGGACGTAGTTTATCGTCTTACCCAGGACTTGGACGTAGTTTATCGTCTTACCCAGGACGTGGATGTACTTTATCATCTCACCTAGGACGTGGACGTAGTTTATCGTCTTACCCAGGACGTGGATGTACTTTATCGTCTCACCTGGGACGTGGACGTAGTTTGTCGTCTTACCCAGGACGTGGATGTACTTTATCGTCTCACCTAGGACGTGGACGTAGTTTATCGTCTTACCCAGGACGTGGATGTACTTTATCGTCTCACCCAGGACCTGAACGCAGTTTATCGTCTCACCCAGGACGTGGACGTAGTTTATCGTCTTACCCAGGACGTGGATGTAGCTTGTCATCTCACCCAGGACTTGGACGTAGTTTATCGTCTTACCCAGGACGCGGGTGTAGTTTATTGTGTTACCCAGGACGTGGACGTAGTTTATCGTCTTACCCAGGACGCGGGTGTAATTTATCGTCTTACCCAGGACGCGGGTGTAATTTATCGTCATACCCAGGACGTGGATGCAGTTTATCGTCTCACCCAATCCCGAGGTGGATATTTGAGCGGAAGTAAATGCAACGAATTAGACTGGAATCGAACTCGGTTCTACGATTTCTCTTTCCGCATCGTTATGCATCGCATCCCAACGTACTTCTACAAAAAGGACAAACGAATATAGCACTCACCTCCAACTGTATGGTACTCAGGTTTTAACCTGTGTGATAAATACTTTCGATAAATATGTCGATCCAAAAGTTTACGTCGGGAACAGTATGAATGATTGACACTTGAGCCACCAGGTGAAATTCTCGCGATGCTATTATGGAAAATGAAGAAAGATTTTCAATCGATCAAAGAACGGTTCTCGCTACAAATGTTCAGATTACAGAGCATGTTTAAAATGGTGTCCTAAGAAAATGCTACCCATTTCCTTAAGTCAAATCACGCAGAAAAAACTGATTCACTTCCGATCATAAAAGCTGTTGGGATTTGGTCAGAGGAGAAATCTGAATTCCATAAATCTTGACATTGTCTACAGAGATACTTAGAAATAATCTTAGAATGTTCCTGTGCAGATAGTTATTAGGAACGAGAAAAAGAGCAAGACAGATGAGAGAGTCTTGGAGAAACACCTGCACTGATCTCCGGGTCTTTTCTGGCCATTATCAACGAGATTTTAAATAACGCGCAAGATTTCACGAGAGATTGAAAAGCGAAAGAATTTTTGATACAGTCAAATTAAATTAAAATATTACAGAATCTCTGCCGTTTCTTCAACAAAGAAAATTTGATACCTTCTTATTTATAATATAGTATGATTTTTTTAGATTTGAGATGTTAATTTTTTTATCTTTAGGAAGGTGTTGTCGGTGGACGGATCCTTTGTCAAAGCCAAAAGATCAAGGAGTTGTTTTTTTTTTTTTTTGTTCAAGATATTTCTTTCCATTTTTTCTTAGCAAGAAAACAAGCATGTCCGTTTATTTTTAGTCGAAAGCGAAGAATCGAAATGACATGTGGCACCAAATAATGAGCGCCATGTACAATGACCTTGTACCAATTTTAGTAATTACCATTTAGCTGATTAACAGAAGTGGGAGAAATAGATCCCCCCCACCTCCATCACTTTTTTTTTTATTTAATTTACTGACTTTAGAGAAGCATCCCTTTTTTTTGTACGAGTCTCAACCATCTCACACTTGGATTTTTGTATATGCAAATTTTTTGTTTTTGTCTGTACTTTGGGAGACTTTTCTTTTAAATTTATTTACTCTTTTTTTTGTCCTTTGTTGAGGCGTCGCTTTTTATCCCTTGATAAAAACGATCGACATTTTTACAGCATTCTTCTAGCCATTTTTTAAAAAAATGTTTCGGGTATTTCCACGCTATCAACCAGTTTAAGTGCATTATCATCACTTCTTCACTCTCTTCTTCTTCTTCTTCTTCAATATTCTTCTTCTTCTTCTTCTTCTTTGCGGATTCTTCAATTTCTTCATTTTACTTTCTATACTTCATCTTTTCTTAAATTCTTCGCAGGTTTTTCTTCTGTCGTTCTGGTGACACGTTTTCTTTCTTTATTTCTGTTCTTATCTGTCCATTTATATCTTTTTCAGTTTGTTCTTATCTATCTATCTATCTATCTATCTACTTACTTTTCATTCCTTCTCTTTTTCTTTTTTCTTTCTTTCGATTTATATTTATCTATTTTTTCATCTTTTTTTTCTTTTTTTATTTCTTTTTTCTTTTTTTCTTTATATCTATCTGTATATATATATATATATATATTTTATATATATATATATATATATATATATATATATATATATATATATATATATATATATATCGATCGATTTAGTCTGTCCATCAATCATCTATCTATCTATCTATTGTTTATCAGACTACTATCTAATATTTTATCTATCTATCTATCTCGTTAACTAGCCTTCGTTCTTTGTTTCACTATTCATTTATCTTTTTACTACCAATTTCTCACATTAAAAATGTTCAAGAATTCGTATTTTTCTCTTCTTGCAAATTGACTGGATATTATTTAAGAAAAAAGTTTATTAAAAAAAAAAAAAAAAAAAAAAAAAAAAAAAAAACAAAAACCTCTGGAACATCTCGTGCACATCGTGCATTATCTTTTATGCGCACATCTCGTGCATATCTTATGTACATCTAATACTTCATCCTTTTTCTCTCATTCTTACATGGCGCTTTGTTCAACTTCCGTTTTGCTATTTTCTTTCCTCGTGGATCACTTCCACCACCGACTCCCTTATTTTTTTCTTTTCTTTTTTCTTTTCTTTCTTTCTTTCTTTCTTTCTTTCTTTCTTTCTTTCTTTCTTTCTTTCTGTTTCCTATACAATTCCTCCTTCTCTTCCTGCCTTTATACTATATTCATCTTTACCTGCATATTTCTCTTTATTTTTTTCCTTTCAACATTTCTCTTTTATCCTTCCTCCTTCTCTTCGTTAATCTTTCTTCTTTTCAGTCTCTCCTTTTTTTCCCCATTTCTTCACGCCGCCGTCTTCTTTTCAATGTCAGAATATTCCTTGCCCCCCACTTAAGCCACATTTACCTGTACACTTACAAACTGGTCAACAGCAACTACTCTAACCGTCATCACTGTTTTTTCTTCTATCAAACTCAGCCGACCAATCAGCTGAGACCAGACATTTACAAACAAACCAATTTTCAACAAAGTACAAATGATACATTTCTAAAATTAAAAAAGACAGGCACCATACATGGCCTCACTTCTCGGGACGCGTTGTTTGGGTGGCGTGAAATCCGTCAGCCCCAACCTTAGCTTGTCAGCTATACAAGTGACAGACAACACGCTTGCTTGGGCGCGGGTAGACTGAGGTAAAGGCAGTTGACGTCATTCTACACCTGCGCGTTATTAGGCATGGTGACATGTTAAAAGAGACAGACTTGGATGTAACCCGGTTTGTTAGAGAGTTGAGAGGGGTAGTCGGATGGAATTGTAAACAAAAGTGATACAATTATTTCAAACAGATATAATCATAGATAGATAGATAGATAGATAGATTAGTCAGATAGATATGTGTCAAATTATATAGATAAAGAAGAAAGATAAATAGATAGATAGATAGATAGATAGATAGATAGATGAATAAAAAGATAGTGAAAATTATAGAATAATGAATTAGATATGAACAATAGATAGATAGATAGATAGATAGATAGATAGATAGATAGATAGATAGATAGATAGATAGATGAATATGAACAGACTTAGATAGATAGATATATAGATACGATATGAGATAGATAAATATATATATGAACAGATAGAGAGATGGATAGATAGAGGGATAGATATGAACAGATATGTGTAAAATATATAAGAAAAGAAGGAATTAGATAGATAGATAGATAGATAGATAGATAGATAGATAGGAACAGACTTAGATAGATAGATAGATAGATAGATAGATAGATAGATAGGAACAGACTTAGATAGATAGATAGATAGATAATGGTAATTATAATAATAGTCATTTTCTTTCAAGGAATCATTCGACATTCATCTGCTGAGCAGTTGAAATTGATCGAATATTTCTATTAAAAATTCTTCAGGAAAATATGTCTCTCAAATCCAGTAACTGTTATCGCTCTTTCAAACATTGTTTGTAGTTTCACTTTCTTGATTATCTCATTATTTTCTATCCAAGTTGCATATGCTCTTAAATGCTTTTAAACATTTAAGAGCATATGTAACTTGGATAGAAAATAGTCCGTTAATATGATTTTTCAGCTCTCCTGACATTAATGCATCTTAAAAGTTGCGTCTTAAAAAGTTTTAAATTAAAAAAGTATTTAATGAGGCACGGTGGAGTAATGGATAATGCCTTGGACTGAGGAATCAGAGAGCCGAGTTCGAATTCCAGTCGAATACATTACATTCACTTACGTCCTCTTCTACCCTTTCCCTATAGGAAAATAGCAGGACAGACCGTGTTCTATAGCCTAGGATGGCAACTTGTTCAAAACAAAAAGAAATGGTAACCTGCTTTTAGAAAAAATCTGTTTCGCCAGTCATGTATCTGAATAAGATACATGATCGCCTAAGTTTTGTTTATCATAAAATGGTGTTATTTTGACTGACTTAATTTAATTTCAAACCAACAATGAATTATTTATATATTAGCACAAATAATAGTCTCGCAAACTTCTAAATCTTATGTTCAACTAACGACATGACATAAGAAAAAAGTTATAAAGTGAGATAATAAGAATTAGAGTCTATGAGGGTAGTACAGCCGGATTTTACATAGAAAATAAAATCCTATTGTTGCGTCCACAAACACAAATATTAAAACAATGCGAAGAAATGTTTTACGCAGAAATGGAAGAAGACCAGGCTAATATTTATACAGTCAGATACATGTATTTACATATTAAAAAGTTAAGTGTCCTTTGTTGTGGCCATAAAGAGACCAATAGCTCGAGGGTTCGGAGTGATTTGTCGTAAGTGAGTCTGCAAAGTCCCGATGTGTTTTTGTTGCAAGTAAGGAAATCAAGTGGTATGGTACGCCAATGTGTGTATGTATGTGTGGAGAACACGCAAATAAAACATGTGTGACTGCTGACTGATTGCGTGCGATAGCAGTAATTTTAAAATACAGTGAACAAAGAGAGGGTAGACAAGACTTACTTTCGTCGTGGCGTTGTATGTAGAAAAATCCTCGCTTTGTCATGGTCCTGATGTGTCATGTTTGTTGATCGACGACATCAGTTAGTTGATAAGTTTTTTCGCCAACTTTCCTTCACTGACTGTCGTTGCAATCTGGTCACTGGCTATTGCTGACGAGCCAATTTTATCGCTATGGGTTGACTCTATTTGAGTTTTTCACAGGAATGTAGTCAGTAACCCGAGCCTTGACCCATTTCCAGGTCATTTGGAGTACCTCACGCGACTTGTCACGCCGAATCAGGTTCCAGAAACTACTTATTTAATTTAGAGTCGTGTTTATACAAAACTGTTAAAACAATTTTCGTATCTGCTGAATTTAGTAAGATTTGTAGGCATCTCTTATTGTTTGTGCTTCACTTAATGTCCGTAAAATATAGCAGTTTATATTCTATGAGACGAAATATAAACGAATGGAATAAAAAATTGGAAAAAATTGTAACGGATAAAAAAGAAGAAAAAGAATTCAGTGTAAGACAAAATGAAAATTGCGAAAGAGAGAGACAGGGGGAAATGAAAGTTTGGTGAGAAGAGAAGGGCATACAAGCAAAAAAGAAAAAGGAAAAGGTTTAAAATGAAGAAAATGAAAGGAAAATTAAAAAAAATGAAAACGTTTAAAATGAAGAATATGGAAAAAGAAAAATTCCAAAAAAGGAGACAAAAAGTATAAAATAAAGATAATGAAAGAAAAATTTAAAAAAAGGAAAAAGTTTAAAATGAAGAAATTAAAAGAAGAAATTTAAAAAACAAAAAAAGGCAAAAAGTTTAAAATGACAAAAAAAAGTATGGTTTGTTCCCTAAGCCAAATTGAACTTTTAGAAACTTACTAAACCCATTTATAGTGCGTAATGTTTCCAATCAACATCTTTTCATTGGTTTTATAAACTATTTTCTTCACTTCTGCTCATATCGTAGCGAACTTGAAAAAAAAAAACATGTCGTGGGGATTACGTAACTCCTCCGCCATTTTAACAAACGATAAAGTAACACAGGATACAGCGAACTTCAAAAATAGTTTTAAAACGCTTATTCAGACTTTAATTTTCCAAAAGGTGCGCTCTGCAAATTTTGCTGCTAAAACACACGCAAACGCTTGCGATCACACACAAATTTGGTGATGATTCACTCTCGTTAACATGACATCATTGAGGATTATTTAAAACATCATTTTTCAAAAGAATAGCAGCATGAATGGGACAAAAGAATCTTGTCTACCAAACAGACAATACATTTGTTCTTGAAAATGATTGAGACGGTCGAAAGTACTTAAACAAAATAACAGTACCAACATGAACTTTAGACAATTTATCCACAAATTCGATTACAATAAATTTTATTAAAAATACAATAGAAAAATTCAACAAACTTACTTTGTAGGTTCCATTTATCCAAACTGGTGTGGCTCAATAATTTAGTGTATTATATATATATATATATATATATATATATATATATATATATATATAAAAGTGAACATTGAAGTCAATTTTAGAGGCGATAGGCTATTTCATGTTTAGACGTAATCGTCAGGCCATATATATATATATATATATATATATATATATATATAAATGTGGAGAGAAAGAGAGACATTTTAGGAAAATCAGAATTGCATGGCGACAGTCAGTTTCACGATTATCAGACGTAGTTTTACAACTTTTTATGAGGGTTCTATATATTTTGTCACCGCTAGCGTTTTGGAATTGCGACACAAGAGGTGTAAACCGGTTTTTCCCTTTCTTTCTCCAAGGCTAATGTTTTAGTCCATTTATTGTTCTGGCCTTGATGTTGATTATTTTATTAAATTATTTTATTTTCATTTTATTATTTATTTGTATAATTTCTTCCGTTCTCAAATTTAGTATCTGAAATTAATTTTATTATTAAGCTTACATAATTATGTGTTATAATTTATCATGTAGTAGTAAATAACATACTATGAATAATTTCATGTTACTTTATGAAATAGTTCTGAACTTTTCTTTATGCTTTTTTTATATTCTCAAAATGTGTTATCCTCTTGGCTATGGTTGCACATTTTTGTCTTGCTGTTGTAATAGGACGGTGTTATTTTTTTTCTAAGCTTTGTGTTTGTGTGTGTTTTGGTTTATGACTTTGAGGTCCCATATGTCTTTTGAGAATATTGTGCTATTAGCATATTATTGCAGTTAAATGATGTTTTAACTGCAATTGGGATCTGTTTTACATATTATCTTCTGTTACATATATATATATATATATATATATATATATACAATTCAGAAAAAGAACAGGTGAAGTAAAATTCCGCTGTTCACAGCATTTACTTTTAAAAAGTGCTCAATACAAAGTAGAGCAATACATTATTATTATTATTATTATATTACAACAAAAACATATTTATATCACTACATAAAAGCTTTCGTGTTTCAACAGTACGTTTGTACCGCTTCAAGCCATGTTAAGTGATTAGGTGATTAAATAATTTTTTTTTCTTAAAAATTATTTAATCACTATTGCCTGAAGAGGTACAACGTTAACAAAAAAACGAAAACTTTTTGTATATCGATTTAAAAAATTTTGAAAATTTGTTTCTATTTATAATACAATAATGTATACACACACAAAAAGACACACACACGTATATATATATATATATATATATATATATATATATATATATATATATATATTTCTGTGTTTTTTTAATGCTTTTTAAAATCTTAAAATTTGTAGGCAGTTACCGTTTAGTGGACATTCTTTTTTTGCAGTTACAAGTGGAAGTCATATGATATTTTTTTAATGATTTATAGCATATTTTATTATAACCTTGTATTATAATATATAACATTATACTATATTATAACATTGTAATTATAACATATAACATATAACATTATAACATATGATAATTATAAATATTATAAATTTAATATAACATTATAACATATATTATAAACACATTTAATATATAACGTTATAACATATTATAATTACAACATAAAACAATATAACATTATAACTTAATTATAGCATATTATAACATATTATAACATATAACATTATAACATATAGTTATAATATATTATAGCATATTTATAGAATATGTTCAGCTGTAATAATGTTTTAACGTATATCTGTTCAAAATATATGCAGTTTACTTGATTTGGGGAAATCATTCTCGACACGATTTGTGAAACGTATTCACTTTTTATTGTACAATGAGTTGAATATTATGATGTTGGATTCTCTTTTTCATTCTGTTTTCTGGAAATTTTTTTTTTTTTCCGAAAACCTACTGATTTTTGTACTCTTTAATTATTGTTTTTTATTTAATTAATTCTTGTTTTCCTCTAAGTTGTGTGTGTCTGTCTGTGAGATCATTCTGTATATTTTTATATTTTATCTACAGATTGTGTGCGATATTTCTCATTAAACGTACTTTCAATCTTTTAACAGATCTTTCATCTGTTCTTTCTTTCTTTCTTTCTTTCTTTGTTTGTTTCTTTCTTTCTTTCTTTCTCGCAATATTTATCTCCTTATTTCCATCCTTTTTTCTCCTCTTTATTTCTATTTATTTTCTTTCTTCTCTATATCATTCCTTGTTTCTTCTCTTTTGTCTGAATGACCGAATGAAAGAAAGAAGAATATAATAACATGCTTCCAATGAAAAAAAAAATAGCGGACGATAACGATAAGAGATAAAGCGAAGAAAGAAAGAAAAAAAGAAAGAAAGAAAGAAAGAAAGAGAGAGAGAGAGAACGAAAAAGAAAGAACGAAAAGAAAGAAAGAAAGAAACAAGAGAGATGAAAAAGAAAGAAAAGAAGAAAGAAAAAGAATGAATGAAAAAAGAAAGAACGAAAAAAAAGAAAGAAAAGAGATGAAAAAGAAAGAAAAAAGGATGAAAGAAAGAAAGAAAAAAGAAAGAGGAAGGAAAATGAGAGAAAGAAAGAAAATTTGAGAAAGGAAATGGAGAGAAAAAAAGAAAGATGAGAAAGAAACAAAAAGAAAGAAAAAAAAGAGAAAGAAAAAGAAAGAAAATATCATGTCATCCTCATGAATTGTCTGAAAACAACCTCAAATCCCGAGTTGACATCTGCTCTTCTCTCCATTCTCGCCAACTTGTTTCACCTTTTTTCGACAGACTTGTGACTGGCGACGAAAAATGGATCTTTTATCGAAATGTTAAGCGTCGTAGACAGTGGCTTGGTAAAGGGGAAGGACCCCAGCCACAGCCGAGAAGGGAACTTCATAGGCAAATGGTTCTTCTTTCAATCTGGTGGGATCGCCAAGGAACAATCCACTTTGAATTCTTACCACCTAATGCAACAATTAATGCTCAAATATACTGTCAGCAATTAGAGCGTTTGAACCAAGCTTTGAGGAAAAAAAGACCTGCTCTAGTGAATCGAAAAGAGGTGATGTTTCATCAGGACAATGCGCGACCCCAAACAGCAAGAATCACGTCACAAAAGATCGAAGAACTTGGTTGGGAGAAAATTCCTCATCCACCTTATTCTTCCGATCTTGCTCCTTCAGACTACCATTTGTTTCGTAGCTTACAGAATCATTTGGAAGAAACAGCTTTTGTAACACAGGAAGAGGTTAAAACTGACATTTGTGAGTTCTTCGAATCAAAGCCAAAAGAATTTTACAGTAATGGAATTAGTAAGCTTGTTAATAGATGGAAGGAAGTCATAGATAATCAGGGAAAATATATTGTTGATTGAATCTGTAATTAAATGTAACATTTGGTCACTTGTTTTCTTTATTCAAAATTCGGACAGAACTTATGGGATTACCTGATATAAAATGAGAAAAGAAATAAACTAAAAAAAGACACAAAATGAAAATAAAAGACTAGAGAAAATAAACCAGCTTTCAATTTATTCCTATGCCAATTTCGAGAACCGTTGTTTTAAAATGTTAAAAATTTCTCTTGATTTTAAATATAAAATTCTGTTGATAATTAATTTTGAAATCATATGATATTATGTTCTTTGACCAACTTGTTTAAAAATCAATATTAATATTGTTATATAAATATTTCTTTTTATCATATTTAACTATACGTTTTTATTGCCGAAAACGACTGATTTTCGTCGATGTTTTATAATTTAAATTTTTAATAAGTACCCTTGTATTTATTTCTTTGATATGATGAAAATAGAAACAAGTTAAAAATGGTCCAACTTAATATAAGCCAAATGATATTCAAAATTCTGTGTCCATAATTGGGACTTTATAATGTTAAATTTGAACGTAAACAAAAAAAAAAAATAAAAAAACCTTATTTCTTTATCAATTTTGAAGTAAATATAATATTTAAATTAGAGAACTATTGCACATCTCGTGCATATCTTATGTACATCTAATACTTCATCCTTTTTCTCTCATTCTTACATGGCGCGTTGTTCAATTTTGATGAAAGGCTTCTACTGTGGTTTTCAGGCAATTTACAATGGTGTCGCACACTGGGATCGCCTCCTCCAGACAGGTAACATCAAAATCACAAATTCTCCATTCTAATCGACCCCGAGTCTCCAAAATTGAATTCAGAATGTTTTGTGTGTGTGTGTGTGTGTGTGTGTGTGTGTGTGTGTGTGTGTGTGTGTGTGTGTTGTTCAATGAAACTAATATCAGAAATTGGAACACAGTATGTAAATCTAAATGAAGGGTGATTATTATAGTAAAACCAATAGATGTACTGGGTTTTATTATAAATATTAGAACAGGATTTGACCTCAATATCATGTAAATTGATACATTTACATTGGTTAGATCTTATTAGATCGAGTTTTTTAATAAAAAAAAATATCCAAATGTTGGACAGTTTTTTTTTTATTTTCTCATTAAAAAAAAGCCACACTTTTCTCTTTTAGAACGGCTTCCATGATGAAACACAGTAGACATTCGTTGTCTGTCATATTTTAATATATGTTTGAATAAAGATGATATTTATATTTAATAATTTAAAATATTATATTATATATCGTTTTTTTTTTTTTTTATCTTGCAATTTTTATTATCAAGATCCAGGTTTGTTGAATGAGGGTGAAACTGACTTTAAATTTTTTTTTTTTCGCTTTTTTTTTAATCATGAAAAGTAAAAAACAAGCGAATCGGAATTTATTGCTATTTTTAAGTTTTACATATATATATATATATATATATATATATTATATATATATTCAATATATATATATATATATATTTGCAATATATTTATTTTCTATTAAATATATATATGGGGTGTTGTGAATTGGGATCATATACAAATCAAATATGGAACTGAAATTTAGAGAATTACATAAAATAACGAACAAATAGGAAACGTTTTTCAATCTAAAATGTTTCGTTAAACATTCCAAAGTTTGAAATAAAATGGATTGATAAAATTTTTATATGTTCTTTATCTTTATAAATATATTTATATATATATATATATATATATATATATATATATATATATATATATACTTTTTTCCTGTAAGAAAAATTTTTACCAATAATAATTGATAAGTAATTCAATAAGATTCTGTAAAGCTAGATATATTTTTTCAAAATGTCACTTTTATTCATTTTATTATACAAAATACATTTTTATAAAATTTTTCTTTTATTTCCAGATCATTTCCATCGATATCTGACCATCTGGTAAGTGAGAAGTTAGAAGCTTGTCACAATTCCGTCATCAGACTCTGCACCAAATAACATATCTGAAAAAAACAAAAAACTGACTGTTATTCCTTGAAATATAATCGATTCGATGCTGACTGTCAGTTTAACATTTTCGTCTGTCGTAAGTCAAATCCATAAACAAAGAGATATGTATTGGGTCCTCGACGTAAACTTTTACCAAAGAAAACTATTCAGCTTCCTTATAGCATCCCTCGACTGTAATAATTGTACGGTCCTGATTAGTCTTAGTAATAGTGTCAATGATTCCGTAATAATAGACTTTTTGAATTCCTAAGTTGGATCAATTATTAATTATTGACGAGTATAATTTTCATTTTGTTTCTCTTGCTATTACATCTAGTATTAATGGTCTTAGGGCATTTAACTTTTTTAAATAAAGATTTATTATTAATTATTATCAATTATTGATTAGTATAACTTCCATCACATTTCTCTAGCTTTACGCCAATACTCTTTCGTTGTCTGAATGTATTCATTTTTATGAGTATTTTTTAAACCTTTGACTAGTATTTTTACGTCCTATTTCTCTTGCTTCTTGCAGAAACATCCAGGATGTAATTCTACGATCTTAAAATAAATGTCCACTACTAGAAACGTATCTGTCTATATTTCTGAGATGAGGTATTATGTACATTATTTACATTATTTAGACTATTGTCCTCATCTTTGTCGCCATATTTATTACAACATTTCGACCTTTCAGTATCTGTCCATATTTCTGAGACGAGGTATTATGTACATTATTTACATTCCTCGGACTATTGTCCTCATCTTTGTCGCCATATTTATTACAACGTTTCGGCCGTTGTTTTGAACGGCCTTCTGAAACACATGGCTCTGTGGATAAAGTCGTTTGTTGGATCCAATGAAAGGACCCAAAAAAAGAGTTCAATACCCGGTTAAGGCAGTGGAGAACTTTCACAGTGAAAATTTACAGGTTTTAATCCTGATAACTGACATCCATTAAACATGGCACGTGGAACTAGCACAGTCTACCCCAGTTGAGCAAAATAAAGGGTTCAGTTCGACACTCCAACCAGAGGAAGAAAGCCGGAGCGTACAACGGCCGAAACGTTGTAATAAATATGGCGACAAAGATGAGAACAATAGTCCGAGTAATGTAAATAATTTGCTAGAAACGTATATGTTGTTATTTAGATTAACTGTTTAAATAAGCCCTCGTTTGTTTTCTTAGTTTGTATAATTAATCTTTCATTTTGCACCGATGGATTTAGAATGACGATCCTGTATATGTAGTAGGAAAAAAGACAACGTCATTAAACTAAGAGAAATACTAGTCAAATATATTAATAACAAAACACAGTCATTTAAAATTCTTTATCTAGTTCTAGTCACTATTTATACTAATATCGTATATAAACGTTAAAATTGGCTGTGCTGGGGAAAATATAGAACAAACCTATATGGTAAGAACTAGATTTCTATGACTCTTTGAGAGTTATTCTACGATAGATGTAGTTATTCTACGATCGATGTAGTTCATAAATTAAATTTTGAAATTACATCCATTTATTTTAGCTAACAGACAATTTCAAATAAAAACAATTTATAATTCAAGACATTATATAGTTGCATTCCCTATCAAATGTCCCGACTTATAGCATGAAGTATATTTATCTCTTTTATAAATCAAAGGATGTTGTGTTGTGTGTGTGTAAAAAAATATTGTGTGTGTGTGTGTGTGTGTATGAATCTGGCAAACAATTTTCGACAGATTTGCACCAAAATTTACATGCAAATGTTCCATATTAGTGGCCAAAGCTAAAAGACCGACATTGCATTTCCCAACTCCCATCGATAGTGGAAATAATCGATTTTTTCATGCTTCTACGTCAGTTTTTTTCATGTAGTTTGCGGCCATTTAAACTGGCTAGGTGAGAGCCTCAACGTTGATTCTGATTTTGAGCTTAGAAAAAATCGCGGTGTGAGATAGGCATCATTCTAAGGCATGTAGCAACATCAGCACGGCAAAGAGCACTCCTTTAAAAAAGGCAAGGAAAGGCAAAAAATATTTTAAGTCAAGTGATTTGGATTGCTGTATGAGAAAACCTATTTTTTTGAATCAAGCAAATGCAACGCCGGGCCATGCTTCTAGTATGATATAATTAGATGGAATCATTTACGTATGATAAAAATGGAAAAAAATAGAATAAAAAAGCTTCAGTCTCGAGTTGATAAAAAATTTAATATGGAAAATTAAAAAAATATATATTTATTTTTACTTTATTAATCGAACGATCATTAATAAAGATGCAAAACAAGTTTTAAAATCTCTTCTTAATTTATGGGATTCTTGTTTTCTTTTGTCTTTATTTCTGTTTTGA